CCACCTGGGGAACTGGCCCAAGGAATAAAATGGTAGTGGTGGCAGGGAAGAACTAAAATTGCATTGGGTGACCAACTGTATATTTTAATAATGGCTCTGAATTTAAAAAGTGAAATGCTTTATTGTATTTTCTCAGAAACTAATCAAAAGATTACAGAGTCCTACACAAAATTTGGAGACACAAAGTGGATGCTGAACAACTAGAGGTTACCCCCAGGTATGAACTTTTAGGAAGTTAGACCTTACAGTAAATGGTACTGTGGCTCTGGCAGCAGATACAAAGGAGTGATGCTCTCTGCAGAGGAGGTAGTGACACTCTGATCAGTCAGTGTATAGATTAGGGTCCCAGCAGGAGATGGGATCTTTAAATTGATGGTTTATCTTCCACTGCTCATGCCTTGGCCTTCATAAATGGTAATTTCAATAACTCGAAGTCCTCTCTCAATGGAGTCTGTTAGGAAGAGGCCTTGAGGAACATATATCTTTTCATCCTGTTCTTGAATATACTTGGAGACTTTCTTCAGAACCTTCTCATAATGGGTTTCCCATGCATAAGAGGATGGTATATACTGTTAAAGAAGTCAAACAGACTTTGAGATAGGATTGGTCCCTGAGCGTTTCTGCTTCCACATAAAGGTTATTTATAGTTCACACAGTTTGTTCCAACTGCTATCAGCCTGGTTCCCAGCTTTGCAGGGAACTTGGTCTGGAACTGGCAATGTGTGCTGCTGCTATAGTCTCCCTAAAAGAGCATCTTCCTGGATACTGGCACCTGCTACAGCTTCATGGCAAGGACAGGACTGGCTGTGCCAGTCCCCCTGCCCTCCAGAGGGCAGTGCCCCCTTCGCTGTTACTCCCCATCTTTTTATTTTATTTTATTTTATTTTTTTGGTACTGGAAGTCAAACTCAGGACCCTGGACTTGCCAGGCAGATGTTTGTGCCACTGAGCTATATCTCCAGCCCCTCATCTCCTATTTTAAAGAAATAAAAATTTAGTAGAAAATAAGATAGCCAGGCATGATGGTGCATGCCTATAATCCCAGCATTCCTATAATCTCAGCCTGGGAGGCTGAGGCAGAAGGATCACTACAAGTTTGAGGCCTGGGCTATAAAGTGAGTTCAAACCCAGCATGAACTGCATAGTGTGACCCTCTCTCAAAAAGACCAAAAAAAAAAGAAGAAGATAAAGCTAAACTTCATGTTTCATTGCTTTAGAAAATCAGCTAGTGCTGTTGGTCCTCAGAATACGCAATACTTTATCTGAAATAGGTTATAATGTGGATAGTGAAATAAGAGGGCACAGGTAGACCAGGTCTCTTGCGGAAATTTAATGTTTTGTGAGGTGGTAAGTTTGGTATTAATGGGAATGAGAAAAGAATAGTTCAGTCAGCAAAGCACCATATAGACATTACATACTGTGACCATTCAAAACAGGTGAAAGACAACAAATGAAGAAAGAAAACAGTTGTATGTATATATCCAGTAGGCATGGGCATTAGTCCCTTACTCAGCTCAGTTTCCATATCCTTCCATGGGAGACCTTTGAAGGACTTGGGTTTGAATTGGTTTTATAAGTTACTGTTTTGTTTTTAGGTTATAGGTTTACCTTTTATATTTGCTTCTAAATTTAAAAAATACTTTTATATTAGTAAATTTTCTTTCAGTAAAAATACAGTAGTTAAGGACTGGCCGGGGGGTGTAGCACACTGGTAGAGTACTTGTCTACTGTGCACGAGGCCCTGGGTTGCAGCTCTAGCATGGGGAAAAGAAAATTCAGTTAAGTCTTTTCTAAGAATATCTTGTTGAATACTACCCTGGTATTAGTGGACTGAGAGAGTTGCCAAGATTGGAGTTTCTGGGTCCCTAGTGAGAGAATTTGTTTGGCATTGATTACATTTAGGAACTCAGTGTCTGCTAAACGTAAGCTCTCAGTGGACTGCCTTCAGGGCTCTCAACATGGGGCAAACTAGTAAATACATCCTGTAAATTTAGCAGACACTCACCGTATGCATGCACAGTACTGACACAGTCTGGTGGCACTGAAATCCAGAGAGAGAAGTTAAAATGAGTAATTTAAGAATTTGAGTGTTCTATGTCTTTGAAAACTTTTTTTGTGGGGGTGTCTTTTTGAGGCAGTGTCTTGCTATGCAGTTCAGGCTGGCCTTAAGCTCAGTTTGTAGCCGAGGCTGGTCTTGAGCAATGATCTGCCTGCCTGAGCCTCCCGAGTGCTGGGATTACAGGTGTGCGCCACCACGCCCGGCTGAAAACTTTTTTTTTTTACCTGAAAGGAGAACCCTAGCTTGGCCTTTGCTGCCAGTACTATTGTTTTCTTGGACTTGAAAAATCAAGTGTTTTTTTGCGTGTTTGTGGCATACAAGACGTGTAATTATGTCTTAAGACCCTAGATTTATTTAAGCAAAATATGCCTTTTCTTTCAGGGTTACTGATCTTGGTAATTAGACAAGTAATTTCAAAAAGGTTTGAGCTTTGAAAAGGATGGTGAGTCTGGGTTACCCTCTCAAGGAGGTCAGCACAACAGTTTTGAGAATATTACCTTTAGCTCCAAATGACAGAATTGTGTCTTGAGAATTTTACCCTTGCTCAAAATGGCAGAACTGATTATAAAAGGCTCTTGGAAGGAAATTTTACTATTTGAGTTTTAAATGAAAGGGCTTGGGAATAGAACAACAGTTGAGTGAATACAAAATGGAAGGAGACATGTTATAACTGAAAGAGGGTAAAAAAAAAATAAAACAAAACTGAAAGAGGATTTAGGGGAAAGGACTTCGAGGCTTAGTGACTCTGAGCTCACCTGAAACTATTGCTTGGTATGGTTCCAGAAAGACAAATCTTAGGATATATTGGTAGTGTCTAGATCATGGGTAGCCGACATTTGGCTTGCACTGAGTATAGAGGAATTGTCTTGAACCACATGTGAGATTAATGTGTATAAGCTGCAGTGCAAAAGTTAATAAGCAAGTATTTATTTTTCTAGTATTAGCAATATTATAGATGTAGTTACAACAATATGAGCAAAAAACATTATTTATATATATATATATTGCTTCTTACGCCACAGCTATTAAGAAACTTAACTTAGTATTTTACAGAATAATGCTTGTCTTCAAAAGCACATACATATGTAGGTAGGTTATATTACTGTTAATGGGTACTCACTGCATTTTATGCACCAAGTTAATCCATGCAACGTTTGATACACATGGGTTTCAGTTCGATTGACTCTGTGTCTACACAGTGCACACTCAGGCACCTCAGAATTGAAAAGTGCCTCTAAAAAATGATAAAATGATGTCAAAAGTTTGATACTGTGGGACCACATGTGGCCCATGGGTCACAGGTGGGTCTAAATAGTTTATTAGTCAGACTATTTATTTATTTATGACGCAGGGTCTCATTGTATAGCCCAGGCTGACCCTGAACTCACGGTGATCTCCTGAGGCCTGGAATTATAGCCATGTGCCACCACGGCTGGCCTTTTTTTAAAGACAGGGTCTCTCAGACCACATTTGGCAAGTTACATTTAAATTCTATGTCTCACAGCAGGGGAGGACAATTGGAGTTGATTTGGGGGCAAACTGGATAAGTGGATATAAAACCATGTCAGCTGATGCAGAATATTGAAAAATAAATGATATATATGGATCATATAGACACCAGACCCTTATTAGGAATTTCTGAACTAGATTGTTTTCTTCTCTCTTTTTTTTTTTATACTGGGAATCAGACTCAGTACCTTGTGCTTACCAGGCAGGCACTTGTGCCACTGAGCTATACCCATAGCCCTTAGATTGTTTTCTTTTGAGACAGGATCTTGCTATGTACTTCATGCTGGCCTTGAACTCGCTATCTAGCCCAGGCTATACTCAGTTCATGATGATCTTCCCTGCCTCAGCTTCCCTAGTGCTGGGATTACAGGTGTGTGCCCCATATCTGGCCTTTTTGTTTCTTGAGACAAGGTCTCTCTATGCAGTTCAGCCTGCCTTTTGACTCACTAGCCCAGGCGGGCCTCAAACTCATGACAGTCTTTATGCCTCAGCCCGGAGTGAAGGGATTATAGGCATGCTCATCACACCCAGCGGTTGTTTTTTTTTTTAATTTTGAGACAAGGTCTCTAAATTGTGTGGGCAGGGCTGGCATTTGAGAACCCTAGTGCCTTAGCCTCCTCAAGTATTGGAATTACAGCTGTGTCACAAAGCCCAACAAGATCCTGTATAATATACATGTGTAATATCCACAGATAATATGTATTGATTGGCACTTGTTCATTTGATAGATCCTTTTATAATGCTGTTGTGGGAACATGGCTACCTTAGCTATATTAATTGTGAAAAGAATTGTTTTACCCCAGTTAGTTGTGTTTGAGGTGACAAGTTTCTTCCTGAAGCACCTTTTTTGACCTGTGAGCTGGCTTCAAATTATGGCATAGTTCTTAGAGACTGAGTTTGTTTGTTTTTTTTTTTTTTTTTTTTTTTTTTTTAATGCTAAGTAGAAAAACATCTGCAGGAAGTGCAGGCAATAAATTTTAGTTGAGCACAAACCAAATGCTAGGGTGTTTTTGTAACAGGTAAATGAGATAAATAGATTTTCAAGGTGGTATTTGTCCACTTCACTTTCCTATATTGTTAGCACATAGAACATGGAAGAGACTGTGTTAGAAATGAGGAAAGGTGGCAGCAGAGTGTGGTGGCCCATGTCAGTAATCAGAACTCTGGAAGGCTGGACACAGAAGTATCAAAAAAGTTCAAGCCCGGCATGGGCAACTTGGCAAGGAGAAAATGAGTTCTATTTTTTTTTTTTTTTTTTTTTTTTTTATCCCTCAATAAATTTGCAACAAAGAGTGAAATGATTTTGGTTGTTTCATCTAACAGTTTTGGTTGTTTTTTGTTTTGTTTGACACTATGTGGCTCAGACTGCTTCCCGGCAATCTTCCTGTCTTAGCTTCCCAAGTGCTAGGGTTACAGGTGCATGCCACCGTGCCTGGCTGATCAGGTAGTTTTTTAAAGTTGATTGATGTAGGTGTGACAGTTCACACCTGGTTGAGCCAGGGAGGATTCAGCATTCAAGGCCAGCTTGGGTGATTTAAAGACTGTAAGGCCCACCTGTACTACCTAATTGACTCTGTCTCAAAAACAGGTGTTGATTGTTCCTGTTTCATACATAAAAGCATATATTTCATACATCTATATATGGTTAGAAGAAATGTGAAGCCTCTTTTCCTCTTTTTAGTGTGACTTGCTTAGTCTTTCAGGTAACAATTTAAATGGCTCCTGTTGACCTCTTGCAGTATTTACATATCACTGTTATACTGCATTATTTTCCAGCACCTGTGCTCTTTGTTGTGTTTTTCTTTTGCTTGCTTGATTGTTGTCTATCTGAACTTTTGCATTAAAAGTTCATGAAGGTGAGGGCTGTGTCTATTTTATGAGTATTTATCCACTATCTAGGGCAGTGGTGGCACCCCTGTGGCATGTGTACTGCAGCTGATTATTATCATTAAAAGCTCTAAAAGGTTTTCATCACTGGTCTAGCATCTGTTTTGTTTTGTTTTGTTTTTCTTCCGGTACCAGGAATCAAACTCACAACTTCACTCTTGCCAGGCAGGCGCAGTGCCGCTGAGCTAAATCCCCAGCCCCTGGTCTAGGATCTTCATGAGTGACTTGGTTTTTTTGCAGCCACTGTTTTGTATCATCCAAAGTTAGTCCACGAACAACTGAAAAATCAGTTTCAGTTTACCTTAAAGAAGCTCCGAGGCAGGTGTGATGGCACAGGCCCATAATCCCAGCATTTGGGAGGCTAAGCTAGGAGGATTGTTGCAGGTTCGAGGCCAGCCTGGGCTGTAGTAAGTTTAAGAACAGCCTGAACTACATATCAAGATTGTGTCTCAAAAAGAAAAGAAGACGCTCCTAGCAGTAGGAGTGGGGTTGATATTACAGTATGGCAATTCTTGAGTGTACTTGTCAGTTCTAAGGAGTTGGGTCTGGTGACACATGCCTGTAATCCCGGCACTCAAGGCTGAGGAAAGGATTGCTGTGAGTTCAAGGGTAGCCTGGGCTACATAGTGAAACCCTACCTCAAAAAAAAAAAAAAATTAAAGTATTATAGAAGTGTTAACTTAGGCTCTGTTTGTGTTTAGATGACAACTGTTTCTTCATCTTAACATTAGCTTAATTTGCCACTTTTTAGGTGTTGAAATATGTTATTTCCTTTTTGGCTAACTTTTTACTCTTTTTTTTTTGGTTTTTTTTTTTCCGGTACCAGGAATTGAACTCACAACCCTGCACTTGCCAGGCAGGCACTGTGCCGCTGAGCTAAACCCCCAGCCCCTCCTTTTTTCTTTTAAAGCTTGATATTTTCCATTTATTATTTATGTGAATTTTTATTTATATGTTTTTGTTATTTCGTTTTTTTGTTGTTGTTGTTTTTTTGAGAGACAGGGTCTTGCCATGTGGTTCAGACCAGGCTTGAATTCTGTGTATATGCTTAATATTCAGCCTCTTGAGTTGCAGGCTTACACATTAGTCCTCAGCTGCAGTGGGTTGTTTTTTTTTTTAAATCAGTCATTCTTTTTTTAAAGAGATGTTTTTAGATAACCAGAAAAGTTCGAATTTGCAAAGGGACTTACACATTTGAATATATTTACTTACACTAGGTGTAATTGAAAGGTGAACTTTTCTTCAGAGATGTCAAAAACAAACAAATCCAAGTCTGGATCTCGCTCTTCTCGCTCAAGATCAGCATCAAGATCTCGCTCTCGTTCATTTTCGAAGTCACGATCCCGAAGCCGATCTGTTTCTCGATCAAGGAAGCGCAGGCTGAGGTAAGGGGGTATGGTTTTGTTCATTGAGATGATCATTTTGTCAGACTTTTGTGTTGAATAAAGACGGGATAGGCTTGAGTTGGAGGTGATAGACTGTAAGATACACTCGGAGCCTCTTCAAGCTACAAATCCAAGTTAGCTCTGATTGCTATACTATCTGTTTAGTTCCTGTTTTGCTCTGTCAGTATATATGTACTTTCTATCCACTTTGGAAGAAAGAGCATTTTTATTTTTATCTGCACTACTTGATTTGAATCTCTGCACCTGGTTATTTTTCACTAAAGTTTTTATTTTGGTTTATTTTTCCTTAAAGTTTTTTATTTTGGTTGGTTTTTGCGGCACTGGGGATCGAACCCAGGTCCTTACAAATGCTAGGTGAGTGCTAGACCATTGAGCTATGTCTCCATTCCTTTTTAGATTTTAAGACAGAGTCTCACTGAATTACCCAACCTGGACTCAAACTTGTGATTCTTCTGACTGCCTCAGCCTCCCAAATAGCTAGGATTATAGTGATAAAAGTATTTTTGAAGCCTTAGACAACAGTTAGTTTGTGTAGTTCAGACCAGCCTTGAACTCAGTAATCCTCTGTTCAAGTAAAGAGTAGAGGGTTAACAACATGAACAACATTATAAGGAGATTTAACGCACTAAAATAATTTTAAAAAACTAAAATAATTAAAAACTTGTAGAAACTTAGTGTCATTTATATATATCTAATGTGTCAATTACTAAGAAGCTGAATCTGTTTAATAAAACACCCTAAAACAGTCGAAATCAATGCAACAACCTAGGTGCGGTGGCATAGACCTGTAATCCCAGCATGCTGTAATCTCAGGGGCGGCTGAGGCAGGAGGATTGCTGTGAATTCCAGGCCAGCCTACACATAGTGAGACCCTGTCTCAAAACAAACAAAAAAATCAGTGCTGTATCTGTCACTTTCTTACTAAGTGGGAAAATTAATTTTTAAAAATTTATTGCCAGTATGTTTAAATTCAGTCTCTCTTCACACCTTCAGTAGATCTCTGTTTCAATTGTGTTTGAAAATAGGATGGCAAATTTGAGCACCTTTCTTCCTCTTTTGATGTGTTCTAAGGCTTCTTCTCATTAAAATCATTTAAATTTTCTTTTGTGTGTGGATTCAAACCTTTTAGTACATGGAAATTTCTTTATGTGAGTTTGAGAGGTACTGGTGTATTTAAATACTAAAGAAATGCTATGTATTTAAAGGAAGATCCTTTGTGCATTTTCACTCGTCCTGTCAAAATGGCACTAACGGGAAGATAATTTGTCAGTTTTGCTACTTTGAACCCCTGCTGTTTATTCCAGATAAATATCTAGAGTCCTTTTCTTAGAAGAATATATTACAAAATTTAAAGTAAACCTCAGGGAAGGTTAGTAATCATGCTTTACTTTTGGTGGTTTCCTTAGCTCACTTCTAAGGAAATTCCAAACAGTCTATATAGTACATGCCTGAGTTGTATTCTTCCCTTCCTGACAAGAACTAGTTAATTCTCAAATGGGATCTGCAAGAACCCAGCTCTTAAATTAATTTTAAACTCGAGATTGAATGGAGAGTTTATGCATAAATAATACAGGGGAAACCCAGTTTATGTACCTCAAGAAATTGCTGTCAAATTATGGGACTCAGCAGGCTCATAACTCCTGCCGTGCAGCCAGTCTTGATTTAGGAGGCGTAAGCCTTGCTGCTAACTTACTTGGTTCTGAAACATGTTTTAAAATTTAATCTAGTAAATGGAAGCTAAACAAAGGCTATACAATCAAAACCGAGAGATAAAATTGAATCGACACAAACCAAATAGAAAAATGTCAACCGAGTCTGAAGTGTTTGTACCAACTGGAATCCTGGGAGATCTTTTTTCCTGGTCTTATGGATCGTTTGGTGTGGCCATTGACTTGGCAAATGAAGGAAAAACATCTTAGGCAATCTGTGCTAGGTAGGTCTAGAGCCACTTTATGTGCTGTCTTATAACTAGAGGATTATTACTCTGGAGGAATTTCTCCACTAGAAAACATGCTTTTTATACTTTACTCTGACTTCTCTGTGTTTTAGAAACAGATAAGTTTGCCACTGGATGCTCAGTTTTTATTTCTGGCTTATCTGTTTCATGGTTTTTTTTCTTCTGTTTTTCCTCTCCTACAAGGAAAGTATATTATCCAGAGAATTTGAGAAACCATGCCTTTAAATTAAATAGCTGGAGTTAACTAACTGGAATTGGAGAAAATTGATTATTTCCTTGTATTTCACAGACTGTATCCTTTTCAGTGACTTCTTAAATAACTTCATTTGCAATCTGCAGAGACTCATGTTCCTGCATATGCAGTGCTGCGAGTTTTGGATGCAGTATGCTGCAGGGCCCTCACTAGTAATTGGTAACAGCGGTAGCCTGTGAGGAGATCATGAATTAAACCCTCCTTAATGCTGGTGGTGGATCACCTTCTCAGGCGTAGCATTTAATTGGGTCATATTCCGTTTCATAGCCTGCATCTGCCTCTCCTTTCTTTTTCTAATACTGTTACGTTTCTGAATGAAAAGAATGGAAGGTAAGTTTTTTTTAATTGTACTTAAATAGTGACCATTAATAATCAGTAATAAGATGTATCTTTGCCAGCTGGTGTTCTTCATGGGGTAAATAAAAATTCTGGGGATAGTAGGTGATAGTACTGGAAAACTAGTACCATTCCAGTACTTCCTTAGATTGTATTGAATGTAAGTTTCTTCTTAAAAGTAGTTTTGTTTAGTTGTTAAATTCTAAAAAAAACCCCAAAAACCTGACACATTGCTGAATGGAGTTATGGTACCCCACAGCAAACCCCACCACCACCACTGCAGTCACAGGGGATGTGTTCTAAAATCCAGAGCATGCTCGATGCTACATAGTGCTGAATTCTGTGCATAGTACTTCTTTTTCCTATATGTATATACCTATGATGAAGTGTATACAAACTTGCCATGGGAACAGGTTAATAATAACTAATAAAATAGGACAATCATAATAACATACTGTTATAAACCTCTAAAATGATGTACATAACAATTTTTTGTTTCTGGAATTTACCATTTTGTATTTTTGACTGCATTTGGCTGCCAGTAACCAAAAATAGGGAAAAGTAAGTCCATGGATAAAAGTGAAGAAAACCTGGGGCTAGGGGGATGTGGTCAAGTGGTAGCATGTTTGCCTAGCATCCGTGAGGCCCTGTGTTCAATCTGCAGGACTGCAGACCAACAGAGAAAGGTATCTTCCAAGTTAGGCATGGTATAAAAGGCCCGCTGATAAATAACTGAAGAATTTTGATTCTGTATTTAATTAAATACTTTTCCTTGCATTGTTTTCTAGTAAATATTACATATTTTCAGCTAACTGCGTAGGAGTAGGGGTTAAGATTAGTAATTTGTATTCAAGAATCCCAGTGGATTTTTACACACTGCTTTTGTTTTTCTGATAGAAACAAGCCTCCCAGTCATTGATCAGCGTGGGATTCATAAACTTGTATTTACAAAGTTAGATTACTGTTAAATCCCCATGGTTCTGGCAGTATACCTTGGTTGCATCAGAATTGTATGTTGGGGGCTGGGGATATAGCTGAGTGGCACAGTACCTGCCTGGCAAGTGCAAGGTCCTGAGTTTGATTCCCGGTACAAAAAAAAAAAAAAAAAATAGAATTCTGTGTTGTTAAATGAACAACAGTGCTAGTTTTCTGTTTGAGTTGAGAGGTTTTTCGCTTTTTTGTTTTTGAGATAGGATCTTACTATGTAGTGCAGGCTGGCCTTATACTCACCTACGTAGCCTAGGTTGGCCTCAAACTCCCCTGCCTCAGCCTCCCAAGAGCTGGGATTACAGTCATGTGTCACTATTCCCAGCAAGTTGAAAGTTTTTGTAGTTTCTCTTACTAATCTAGTCTATGTCTGGGTGAGTGCTTTATGGCCAGAGAGTGCCCTCTTGTGGCATTTTGGTAAGATCAGTCAGCTCTGCCGCAGATTTGACCTTAATAGACTGTTTTTACTTCTAAATGCAAACCCAGCTATTTCTGTCTGGTGTCAGGAAGTTCTCCTCACTTTTGAACAGATACATTCTCTGTTTCTTTGGTGTTGACCTGTTGTTGTAACTGTACTTTTACAATCCCAGGTCTTAGTGGAGTCCAAGAAGTTGACCCTATACAGAGAGAAGGATGATAAGAATGGGAGTAGAATAAGGACCTCCCCACGCACACACTTTCAATGTATATTTTTGAGATGAGAATCTCACTATGTAGTTCCAGTTAGCCTTCAGTGCATTATGTAGCTCAGGCTGATTTCAGAATCTTGGAGATAGCCCTGCCTCGGCCTCTCCAGTGCCAGGATTACAGGTGTGCATGCCATGACCAGTGAGTGTTGTAATCTTCAGGGGTCAGAGAATTTGAGTATTTACATATCTAGGTACCAGTTCTTCCCTCTTCCAGTGATCTGGGGCTTTGTTAAATCTCCTGTGCCAGTGAGACTAACTGCAGTTATGTTAAAATGGTTTTTGTTTAGTTTACTATATTAAAAAACTGATTCTTTTAGTTACTGTAGAAATAATAAATAAAATTTCTGTTATAAATGTGCTGTAATATTAATGAAATGATCTTAGTATCTCATCATTTGTTAAATGACTCAGCTATAATTCTGTACTTAATATGGGCCATAAGGAACAGGATTAAATATTTGCATCCTTGCTTTGAAAGCAAAACTAAAGATGAATGACACATACGAGCAGGGATTTCAGAGTGTAACTCTCATTGGCATTTTTGTTTTTTTGCGTAAGTAATGCTATGTCAACAATTCAAACCTTTTCCCCTTTCCCTTCCTCTGCAGTTCTAGGTCTCGTTCCAGATCGTATTCTCCAGCTCATAACAGAGAAAGGAATCACCCCAGAGTGTATCAGAATCGAGATTTTCGAGGTCATAACAGAGGCTATCGGAGGCCCTATTATTTCCGCGGGCGCAACAGAGGCTTCTATCCATGGGGCCAGTATAACCGTGGAGGCTATGGAAACTACCGCTCTAATTGGCAGAACTATCGGCAAGCATACAGTCCTCGTCGGGGCCGTTCTCGGTCTCGGTCCCCAAAGAGAAGGTCTCCTTCACCAAGGTCCAGGAGCCATTCTAGAAACTCGGATAAGTCATCTTCTGACAGGTCAAGGCGCTCCTCATCCTCTCGTTCTTCCTCCAACCACAGCCGAGTTGAATCTTCTAAGCGCAAATCTGCAAAGGAGAAAAAGTCCTCTTCCAAGGATAGCCGGCCATCTCAAGCTGCTGGGGATAACCAGGGAGATGAGACCAAGGATCAGACATTCTCTGGAGGCACCTCTCAAGATACAAAAGCATCTGAGAGCTCGAAGCCATGGCCAGATGCTACCACCTACAGCACTGGCTCTGCATCACGAGCCTCAGCAGTTTCTGACCTTAGTCCCCGGGAGCGAAGCCCAGCTCTCAAGAGCCCTCTTCAGTCTGTGGTGGTCAGGCGGCGGTCACCCCGCCCTAGCCCTGTGCCAAAACCTAGTCCTCCACTTTCCAGCACATCCCAGATGGGCTCATCTCTGCAGAGTGGTGCTGGGTACCAGTCTGGGAGCCACCAAAGTCAGTTCGACCATGGCTCTGGGTCTTTGAGTCCGTCCAAAAAAAGCCCTGTGGGTAAGAGTCCACCAGCCACTGGCTCCACTTATGGCTCATCTCAGAAGGAGGAGAGTGCTGCTTCAGGAGGAGCAGCCTATACAAAGAGGCAAGTATCTCGTTTCTCCTGCCCAGTTGTATTTGATCTCACCAACTGGCAGTTTAATTGTAATGGAATCTAAGTTAGAGCTCTAACAGTAATAAGGTAATCCCTGTTTCCTCAACTTTTCATAAGCAGACATTAAAAATACCACCTAAGAGGGGCTGGGGATTTAGCTCAGCGGCACAGCGCCTGCCTGGCAAGCGCGAGGTTGTGAGTTCAATTCCCAGTACTGGGAAAAACTCAGAAACTCAAAAAAAAAAACAAAAACCACCTAAGGAAACCTTCAGCTTAACTCTAGCTTTCCTACCTTCCTTCAATTTGTATTGTAGCATAAAGTTTTTTAGACTACTCTGCAGTAATGTTTTCACATTTAAAATTTGTCTTGGATTCTGCCAATGTATGCCAGAAAGCAGTAGAGATGTGTGGGTCAGCTACCTTGCCGCCCAAAAAAAACCCCTACAAACGCAAAAGGAGGTCTTTGGCAACATGAATGGCCATTGGAGCTGTTAGACCTCTAGAACCCACCATCTGTTGTGTTCAGTCTGTGTCAGCCCATCATGGTGAAGAGCCGCACGCTCTCACACCCCTCCATTGAAGAGACTGTCAGAATGGGAAAGCCCAAGGCTTAGTCCAGGAAGGCCTTGTTTTAATATCACAGGGTGGGTGTATGTCCTAGTAGAAGCTGGCCAGGCTGCAAGTTAGGAGGGCACATGGCAGTGCTTCCATCTTTCTACTTTGGGGAGCATGGTGAGTGGAACATGAACCTTTTGTGTGGTTGGATGGATTGGGATGGCAGAGATGTTACAGGGAAGCTACTTGGGATGAGGTTGTATTCAGGAGGACTTAACTCAGCAAAAGAATCCCCTTTCTTCCTTTCCTTCCTGTTACTAGCATATTTTTTGATGCCCTGCAATGCCTTGGTTCTTCCCATTAGTGGTACAGATGAGATGTTTAGAATCTGTAGTTTCCTGCCTTCAGTAAGTCCACTTTAAGGTGTTAAGGTATATTCCTTGCCAGGACTGAATTTCAGTAGAAGACTTGAGCCTCAGCTCTGCTTTTCCTTAAGAATAATGACTTTTGCTACTGCCCCCCCCATTAACAAGTGTTTTGTTTTTATTTGTGTTCACAGTATATTTCATATTTAGATCTTCTAGGTGACTTGCAGCAAATTTGAAGTCTCTTTTTGAGACTTGTATTTCCAAATGTGAGTTGTATAAAAGCAAAACAGTCCAAGGTTGAACTGTATGTTAACTTTGCTGAAAACAGATTTTAAGTGACTGAGTGAAAGTTGGGTAAGAGCCTAGTTTTTGTCCCCTAAACCACATTGCAGGTAAGTAGGTTTTTGTTTTGCAGTATCCTAAAAATAGTATTTGCTGTTCGCTTTTTATTGTTTTTGTAAGGTACAGCTCTATGGACTCTTAAAACCAAGTTTTTAGATTCTTAGGAATTACTAGAAAGTAACCAAGTAGAGAGTCATGGTCATAACAGAATTTGTAAGAGATGTTTGCTTAAATCAAAGAGCAGGAACAGATACCATTAAAGAGCAACTTGCTCAAGAGGCTTCTTGTCTGTCTCCCTTGTGTTTTTTATAACTAGGTATCTAGAAGACCAGAAGACAGAGAATGGGAAAGATAAGGAGCAGAAACAGACAAATTCTGATAAAGAGAAAGTGAAGGAGAAAGGGAGCTTCTCTGATGCAGATGCAAAAGTTAAATCAGATTCATTTGCTTCCAAGACTGATACTGAGAAGCCCTTTAGGGGGAGTCAGTCACCCAAAAGGTATAAGCTCCGTGATGACTTTGAGAAGAAGATGGCAGACTTCCACAAGGAGGAGATGGATGATCAAGATAAGGACAAAACCAAGGGAAGGAAGGAATCTGAGTTTGATGATGAACCCAAATTTATGTCAAAAGTCATAGCTGGGGCAAGTAAAAACCAGGAGGAAGAGAAGTCAGGCAAGTGGGAGGGCCTGATGTATGCAGGGAAGGAAAAGCAGAGAAAAGCAGAGGAGTTGGAGGAAGAGTCTTTCACAGAGAGATCCAAAAAGGAAGAGCGAGGAGGGGCCAAGAGGAGTGAAAGCGGGCACCGGGGGTTTGTGCCAGAGAAGAATTTCCGAGTGACTGCTTATAAGGCAGTCCAGGAGAAAAGCTCATCACCACCCCCCAGGAAGACTTCTGAGAGCCGTGAAAAGCTGGGAGCCAAAGGAGACTTTTCCTCAGGAAAGTCTTCATTTTCCATTACTCGAGAGGCCCAGGTCAATGTACGAATGGACTCTTTCGACGAGGACCTCGCACGGTGAGATGCACTCCTTGTTGGTCCCCAGGGCTCTAGTGCCCTAAGTGGTGTCTTCCAATCCCCCTCCTCCTGAGGACAGGCTCCTTTATGTGTCCCTTTGCTGTTCTAGCTGTCAGTCTTTCCTCTTGCAGTGGAAAGTGTGTTACTGAGTGATTATGTGCTCAGGTGCAGCATTATTGGGGAAGACTGTCTTTCTGATGTATTTGGCTTTCTTGGTTGTTGGAGTCCCTATGGTTCTCTTGTGCTCTACTCATCACCCCCAGCCTACTCTGCCTCCGTATCCTTTTCTTTCCAATATTTAAAGATGTCTTTCGGCCAGGCATGGTGTTGTATGACTGTAATCTCAGCACTTGGGAGGCTGAGGCAGGATGATCGCCATGAGGCTAGCCTTGGCCACATAGTGAATTCAAGACCAGCCTGAACTACACAGCGAGACCCTATCTCAAAAGGAAAAACAAAATAAAAAAATCTTTAACCTGTGAAACACTCCAGGATTTGCTTCTCCATTTTAGTTGGGTTTCCAAAGTATATTATAGCCCCCATCATCAAAAAACAGAAATTTTAGAGTTGGAGGTTAATCAACCCCACAGTCAGGAGAGAGGTGATGAGGCCCAGGCTAGCTGGACTTGGTATAATGTCTCATTATACCAAGAGAATGTCTCTTCCATTTGGAAGTCTGCTTGAGCAGTGTTTCATCCACATCCCACTTTCTTGCTACGTCACCTCGCTGACCTTGGCTGGCCAAACTAGTTGATCATTTAAGGATCTTCTAGTGGGTGTGGTATACACCTGTCATCCTAGCATGCTGGAAGCCTGAGGCAGGAGGATCACATATTTGAGCCTACCCTTGATACTAGCAATTTATGGAAGCACTGTCTCACAAGATAAAAAGGGCTGGGGATGTGGCTTATGGTGAAGGCCCTGACCCCAGTCCCCAGTACTACAAAAAACAAATTTCCTATTTGAAATGAAACCAGTAGCAGCCCCACAGATAATTACTGGGGTTTAATATCTCCCTACCCGAAGATCTCCATAGATAAAAAGGGAGAGTTTTGGATAACTGTTTCCATAGTATGGTATGTTGAGGTGACTTTGAGCTTTGGTTGATAAAAGAAAAAAGCACTTCATAGAGAAATTTAAAGCTCATTGAAAGAAAAGTGATATATTTTTATGGCTTAAATGTTTCTTACTTCCTGTACTATCATTTTATATTGATCCTCTCCATATTTCATTTTCAGACCCAGTGGCTTACTGGCTCAGGAACGCAAGCTTTGTCGGGATCTAGTTCATAGCAACAAAAAGGAACAGGAGTTTCGTTCCATTTTCCAGCACATACAGTCAGCTCAGTCTCAGCGTAGCCCTTCAGAATTGTTTGCTCAGCATATAGTGACCATTGTTCACCATGTTAAAGGTGAGTCCAGTCCCTTTTTCCACAGTCATCCCCCTCTATGACAAGTAGAAGAATGAGTGGATAAATGGTGCCCTTCTTCTCATCTAAGGAGCCTCAGGGTTGGCTTAAAGGAAATTCCTTGCAGGGAGAAGTTTCTGTATTTTAATTATAGAGAAGAATTATTTTGAAATAGTAGCAATCTGCGATCATGAAAATACGTAATTCTTCTAAAGAACTTTTATTTTTTAAAGACTAGGTAACATCCTTAACGTGAGGTTTAAAATGTTTGAAAACTTGTGGGGTATACCCCAGTACCTCTTTTACTTTCTAGTGGTCTTTTTCAGGCTTTGTATTATGAATTATTTTACCATTCTCTGGCCGTATATGGTGGTAGGCAGGTTGAAGAATAGCCAAGAGAAGTACTATAGAAATGGGGTTTCTGGGTTGGGCTACTTTACATGTTCCATCTGAGGTTTAGAATCAAGCAGGAAGCTGGTCGTGGTGGCACATGCCTGCAATCCCAGCACTTGGGAGGCTGAGGGAGTTCGAGGTCAGCATGGGCTACATAGTGAGTTAAAGGCCAGCCTGAACTGCATAGTGAGACCCTGTCTCATAAAACAAATGAAAATTAACCAGAAGTTAGGAGGTGAGCTTTTGTCTTTGTATTCATGTCCTAAAACAAGGGAGTTATACTAGACATTAAATGCTCAGCATTGGATTGTGTCTTAACCCGCCATTTTTTTCTTACCCCTTTCAGTGTGTTGTATGGATTTGAATAGCCACATCACTATAGCCGCAGGTTCATACAAGAGTTGAATATTTGTCTGCCTTGGTAAAAGAATATGTGTTTCTTTGACTCAACAGAGCATCACTTTGGGTCCTCTGGAATGACATTGCATGAACGTTTTACTAAATACCTAAAGAGAGGAGCTGAACAGGAGGCAGCTAAAAACAAGAAAAGCCCAGAGATACACAGGTGAGAACCTCAGCCTTACATTGGAGCCCGGCACTCAACAGTTACTAAACTTGTCTTGTTAAATCCTGTTGTTAGTGTCCCTTTAATCCTTTAAACTTAGGGTAACCCCTTCCAATCTGTAGGGTAGCCATGGACATTTGTACTTGAGAATCGAAGGGACATTCTTTGAGGGCTACAGTTTCTCACTTGGGGCCCTAGGAAAACTCTCCCGATGCAGGTGAACTTTTCCTCTGTTACTGGGGGCTGGCAGATGGTTCCATGAGATTACTTTGAGGTTTCTCTAGGGAGAGTGAATGTTATTTTCTTTGAAGCAAACCTATGTATTGTGTATGGATTCTTTAGGAAAAATATGCTTGGAGGGTGGAGGAATACGGTTGTAGGATTATCTCAAAAGGTTTTAAAGCACCACAGATATAAAGAATAGCTCATGTGGTTGTGTGACTCTTTTCAGCAGATAGAGACTTTGGAAACAAAATTGGCCTTATCTGTAATTTAGTTGGACCAAGTTTGTATGACAGCCTCAGTCATACATTTAGGATTTAGGATCTCCTGGACTGTGCAGGTAGTTGTCTTCATCATCTAGATCTAAATAGGGGAAGAATGAGTCTGTTTACTTGAATTCTCAAGATGAAAACTGCTCTTTCAAGTTCAGTTGGGGGATATTCTCAGGGCTCTAGGTAGTCAGGGGTATGCAAAGCTACAGCACTATGGAGATGGACCAAGAAAGCTGTTTTGGGGGGATTTGGCCCTGTCTCTAAGGGAAAGTATAAATGTATAAGTAAAGAATGTTTGTGGGCTGGGGTGTAGCTCAGTGATGGATTGCCTTTTAGCATGTGCAAAGCCCTGGGTTCAGTCCCCAGCACCAAGGAGTAGTTGCTATACGTAAGTTATGAGACAATAAAAATACAAATCATAAAAAATACGAATCTGTAACCCAGATACATTAGTAAGTAGCATATTATCAGTACGGCATTCAAACCATGCATTAGTATACTGTTTCTTTTTCCATTTCAGGAGGATAGACATTTCCCCCAGTACATTCAGAAAACATGGTTTGGCTCATGACGAAATGAAAAGTCCTCGGGAACCTGGCTACAAGGTGAACTGTTGCTTTGATCAGTAATTTCAACAAAATGAGTGCGTTGGGCATGAACTTGACAGAAATGTATTTGTTTAAATTACTCTCTACTTAAGTTTGTGTTTTTCTTTTAAGGATGGGCATAATTCTAAAAATGAACTACAAAGGGTTAATTTTTATTAAATGTATCAACAACCTTTGTGAAGTGGTTAGAATATGGTAAATGACCCCAGAGTCTATTGAGGTGAGCTTGAGAAAAAAAAAGAGAGGCGTTTTGGAACAAGTGCCCATGATGAGAGAAGAAACTTTTTGTGATATTTTTCTGCTTGTAAGTATTATCAAATCAACTGTCTACATGCACTATTTCCAACCATGATTTCAGAAAGACATGCATGTCAGAGGAGAATGAAATATTCATATCTTAACTTAGTAGCCTGTTTTCAACAGCTGGTCCAGTTTTTTTCTAACATTGTACCATATCTATCATCTGTCAGTTACTGTTACTTTTAAAGCAGAACATTACTTTGATAGCCCAGCTACCGACATTTGCAATGATGTGCACGTAATGCTGTTGTTAAATAAAGCTTGTATACAGTTTCACTGTGAAATAACTAGATTGAATTTTTAAAAATCTTAGTATTTATTGACCTTCATTCACATAGTTAACATTTAACATGAGAAATGGCTGTTCCTATACTGCTGAAACCTTTTCTAAAAATAGTGATTGTTACGTTTTCCAAACAAATTTGTCTTACTGTTGAATGTGTTGAGAGGCATTCTTGTGCAATCTTCTTTCCCACCCCCTCTCTCTTTCTCCACGTACCAGTCAGCTTGGCACTACCTGAAATATCAGAGGAAATCTCAACCTCCATGGCTCAAAAAGCCAGCTCCTTAAAGGTTCTGTCTGACTGCCCAAGGGAGCAGTGACCACATTTGTCTTTGAAGGATGCAGAGCCCTCTTTCCTCTCAGAAACAAAGTGATAAAACAGTACAGCTACTTTCTATCACTCCAGTGAATTAAAGTTGTTATTTTATCAAAAGATTAGTGGTTCATGTAAGCAGAATACAGAGTAAACTTACTCCTCAGTTCCTCCTCTGTGGAGGATTTACTTTGGTTTCTTGGTATACAGAGTCCTCTAACTCCTTCCTGTCCTTGCTCTCACTGAGTTCCCAAGCATTGCTGAGCCATTGCTGTGATGGTCAGGCCAGCATGCTACTGCTGGACTCAGGCTACACCTGCAGCACAGCTTGGAGGTTACACTTTCCAGGAAGTCAGCAATTTTTTAAAATAAGATTTAGAAATTCTCTATTAAGGTTTTTGTTATTCCCTCTCTAGAAAAATATCTCAGTATTTCAAGTGTTTTGGAAGGATGCTTAAGATTGTCGATAGCTTTGTTTTTAGAACTCATAATACCACACAGAAGATAAGCCATTGGTTGGTACTATAGGGAAGTGAGCATTTCCCTTGTTAGTAGGAGTAGGCCTTCTCCAAACAACCAACCACTTTCTAGAGCTGATTTTTGTCCCTTTCAACATGTAGACCAGCCAGAGCATACTGGGCCACAGAGGAAGCAGAGTGAGATCCATATATAGGCTTTTCAGAAGGCTACCACCCCCAGAGATTTAAAAAACTGGCTTGACTGGAGTGCCTTACATTCCCAGTGCCTCCTCTGCACTCCTCTATTCGAGTAAGACCACATTTGAGGATAGTAGAGTTGGCAATCCTGAATCCCAAAAACCTTAATTTTGACTTCTCTTGGCAGGCTGAGGGAAAATACAAAGATGATCCTGTTGATCTTCGCCTTGATATTGAACGTCGTAAAAAACATAAGGAGAGAGATCTTAAACGAGGTAAATCAAGAGAATCAGTGGATTCCCGAGACTCAAGCCATTCAAGGGAAAGGTCAACTGAGAAAACAGAGAAAACACATAAAGGATCAAAGAAGCAGAAGTACGTGAAGTTCCTGTTACCCATTCAAACTCAAGTAAAGTCTCTTGTCTGCTCGTTGGGGCTATTTATATACCAGACTTTTCATGCCAGAGGTCTTTGGTATTAGGAATTACAGCAATTTGTGCAGTTATTTCTTTCATACTATGTAATTGTCAGGGAGAGTCCCTACCTTGAAAATAGAACATCTACATCAAAGAAATGTGATCCTTGTCCAAAGAAGATTTTGTGGGGGAAATTCATCTGTGAATCTGCCTACAGAGGTGGTGTGAAGAATCGTTTAATTTCTTTGGCAGTTGGCTTACACCTGATCCTTCTCATTGTGCATTTTTATGAGATGGTTTTATTTTAGAAATGGCCCATAGTCATTGTCAAGTGATAAAACTACTCAGAGACTGGGGATGCAAGTAGCTAGGACAAGAGTGTTGACTGTAATCCCTTTTACATTGGTGTTGAAGGCAGTTCTGAGAGAGGTGTTCCAGAGGCTTAAACAGAGTTGGAATTGTTGAACTGTGTAGGGCAACATTCATGCCAAGGTCCTGACATTTCTATCTACATTTCTTTTTTGCTGTACTGAGAATTGAACTTGAGGCCTGAAGCATGGTAGGCAAATGGTCAACCACTGTCCCATACTCCCTGCCTTCTGTTCACCATTTTGAAAATTCCATGACTTTTCAATTATGTCGTGTTAAAAAGTGCAGTGTTACAGCCCTATACCTCCCCATAAAAAGCAACATTTTTGCTGTTTCTGAACATGAACTGGCGAGCGAGCTTTTTTTAAACTCATTTTCTAACAACGCTTTGTGATAAGTTAGTGTGGTACCAGTTTTGCCCATTTGAAAGATAACAGAAGCTAAGCTCAGAAATGATTTATCTTAAGGTAACTCAGGTATCAGCTGACATCAGAAATCAGATTTTGGTTCTACTTTCCATATGTTTTTTTTTTTTTTTTTGGTTTTT